TACAGAATTTGCCAAATATTGTTGTTGTTCAGTCGCACAGTCGAGTCCGACTCTTTGCAACCCCATGGACCAGATCACGCCAAATATTAGTACCAGTTAAAGTGGCGCTTAGATTTTTAAATACCAAGATCATGTTTTGCTGAGTGCATAGATATATATCCCTCTTTAGTTCTAGAAATCAATTACAGATTGGATTAATATTTTTCTAAATTGAAGTGACATGAATATTACTAATACTAGGGATGCCCATTCAGATATTAAATAACTGGGGGAAAGGCATTTTTTGTTAACCGTACTGAATCTGAGCAAGGGAAATAACACGGTTGGGTACTATCCAGTTTTATCTATTATTGTGGCACCTGGTTCAGATTTCAGAGAGATCAGACAGGGGCAAAAAGGGTGATGCAGTAGACTGGGAAATCCCTGCCATTGCTTCAGTGGTTAACCAACTACTAAGATGCCAGCGGGCTGAAACACAGAGCAGGGGACCTCCAGCTATCTTTAATTTTCTTTATAATGTTGGGAAGCATGCTAACCTTCTTCCTGTGCCATTTCCCAAATAAAAATCACCTCCCCTTGCTGTTCAGCTATTAGCCTCTGAAAGAAAAAAAGGGCAACTGCACCAGGACAAGTTTTCTAATGAGAAAACGGCACCAAGGGGAAATGTTATCCCCTCCCCCAGTTGCATTACTACAGCCTTGATCCAAATCATGCTGCCCCCCCGCTACTGTTAAATTTGAAATGCCTGGAGAACAGATCCCAGATGCCCCAGGGTCTCATCTATCTGAAGCCTATGAGAAAACGAAACATGGAAAAACTCACACATCAATGTCAGAGAGCAGGAGAAGGGCAGTAGCTCTGCCAGTTGCTGCACCCTCTCCATCCTTAAGTACTGTGACTGTGCCATGTGCCAGGTCCCATGTGACGCCTGGTGGCACTATTTTATTATTTAGGCCTACTGCCGTGTCACTTGCTTTCTTAGGGATTCCTCCCACCATTCCTTAGGCCCTAATATTGACCCACTTCTTTAAGGCATGTTTTCTCAGAACCACCCAAGATTAATCTTACCTATGGCTATTTGACATGCTACCCTCCATTGCACGGAAAAACCTTGACCTCCAGTCTAGTCTCATCTGGCTAAATGCACTTGCACAATGGCCAAAATCCAACACAAGCGCGGTACATGCAATCCATGGTACATGCATCTCACTGTGTGGGATTGTAGCCATTATGTTTAGCATGTATCCTTACCCCACACTTAAGAAAAATAGTATTATAAAGACATGTACATGTACCTTTCAGGAAACTCCAGAGGGACTGAGACTTTCCATATCATGTACAATGGGCAGATTTCCACATTACTGAATAAATGGGTTGAATAAAGAAATTACCTTTTATGGTTGAAATGGACAAAATGACAAGAAAGCTTAAAAATCTGGAAGCAGAATTTTTCGCAGACTGGAAAGACTTTAAAGAATATTTAGAGAAATATTGGGATGTAAAGAACTTACTTTGCTTTGATAACTATTGAAAAAAGAGTATTAGAATAAGGATAAATGTATAAGAATAATAGTTGAAAGATATCTTACCTGTAGAATGTGATTAACGAGTAAGGGGAGAAAGAAGAAAATTTAAGATGTGGGCTGGAGGTTGGAGCACTGTGGGAAGTCAAAAGGGGTGGGGAAATAGGAGAAAAGGATGTATAACAATAAGTAATATGATGTATGTTTGACCTTTTAATATATCCTAATACATTGTTTTTGAAGCAGAATAAATGGGTTGGGTACCAGGTTCCGCATTTTAGGTCCTGTGTAAGTCACATACAAGTTCCTCAATTCCCATGCACATACTGCAGCTGTGGTAGATGTGAAGCCGCTTCCATCTTCACCCATGCTGTTTTCCTGACCTGAAACATTGTAAGGGGGTGCTATCTGGCCTATTAGGGAAACCCATATTGCCAGTGGGGAAACTCATGAATTTTCACATAGGTGCCCCCCCCCCCCATATTTGGGATCATACAAATGTTCAGGTTATATACATGCATACAGACAATACAGATATTGAGTGAGTGGATTATGTGAAGAGGGGAGGAACAAGATGGGAAAACTATGACTTTATGAATGGTGGGAAGAGAGCAACCAGGATTTAGGGACTGCGGTTGCAAAAAACCCCAGAGACCAAGGTTCTGAAGCAAAATGCAAATGGTTGCAAAAAACAACAACAAAGAGACCAAGGTTCTGAAGCAAAATGCAAAATGGAGGGCGACAGAGAAAGAGGGAAGGGAAAGCAAGACACTCAGAACTAGCAAAAGACAACTTTAAGAGCGCGGACTCCAATCTGGGAGAACCAGGTTCGATTCCCCACATGCAGCTGCTGGTGTGACCTTGGGTCAGTCATAAGTTCTTTCAGAGCTGTTCTCTCAAGGACGGTTCTCAAGTGAGCTCTCAGCCCCACCTACCTCACAGGGTGTCTGTTGTGGGGAGGGGAAGGGAAAGGAGATTGTAAGGTGCTCTGAGACTCCTTTGGGTAGTGAAGAGCGGGGTATGATTATGTTAGGCTGATCCTGCATCTTTGAAAATGGCTATATTGTCATTCATTTCCAGAAAGAAATGTTATTGCTAAATTAAAGAGACCAGGGCTGTGGGTAATTTAATTAAAAGCTAGCATTAAAAAATATCCACCCAGCATAAAAACACATCGCAGAGATTAAAGCAATGGTTTCCAGACTAAAACCATGTTACCAAAATCAACCCCTTTGTTAAAAGCCTGGGTGAACAGAAACATTTTGACCTGGCACCTAAAAGAAAGCAACGTAGACACCAGGTGAGCCTCAAGGGCATTTCACAAGTGAGGTGTCCCTACTGAAAGAGCCCTGTCTCTGATTGTCATCTATGTCCTCTCTGAAGGAACATTTTGCTGGGAAGCAACCAATAGGGAAGAGATGCTCTGCTTATGGGCTTCCAAGAAGCATCTGGCTGGCCACTATTGAAATCTGGCTAGTTGGTACTGTCCAGCAGAGCTCTTCTTTTGTTCTTAGCCCCACCAGAAATGTTTGCCATGCTTCAGGTGCCGTGTTGTGCAGGGGTTATGATACTGGACTCTGCCATAAAGTTCACTGAGCAACACTGAGCCACCCACCCACACCGAGCAGAATATTGTTGTGATGCTAAAGCAGGGAAGGAAGAGACGTAGATACCACTCTGGAGCTCCTTGAAAGAAAGGCAGGCAGGATAAAAATGTGCTAGATAGGTAGATGTACTGGAGTTGAACCGCACAGTTTTCAGAGTATCTATTGTTTTTTCATTAGAAGGTACTGCTCACGTGGTTTACATGCATAAAACTGAGCACGTCCCACAAAACAACTGAATTAAACCACTCCTATTTCCGGGATTCAGTAAAAGGTACAATAAACTCTGTGGTTTAAAATTCTTTGATATGCCAGTACTTTTTGCTCCATTATCTTAACATTCTACTTGTTTATGGAATTTTCTGCAGCTTCATTGATAAATTAACATAGTGTAAATCAAGTTGTCCCCCCGATTTGTCTTTAGAAAAAAGGACCTTTACTCAGTACACAGTTTCAAAAAGAAAGAGAATCATGAATGAAGAGTGCCCTCTGGTGAACATGAATGGCAATCAGCACAATTTTCTTTTAAAAACAATGAATAGTAGTTAAATTTTTGAAAAAGGATTTCATAAATGCATGGGATTTTATTTGTTTAGCAGCTTCCTAGGATTACACTTTTCTGCCCAAGTGTAAATGTGACAAAGATTCATATATCCAAAGCTGGCAGGTTTCAACTGTACTGAAAGCTTCTGAATTAAAAAAACAAAACACAACCTCCGGAAATTCACAAATACCTCCCCCTCCACACACCTCGTGACCCCTGTTTTATGCCTAGAAGATGACAAAAAAAACCCAGGATCCCGGCCAAACTGGCCTGGAGAAAAAGTGCTTCCTGACCCCAAACTGGTAATCAGCATTTCCCTGGATGTGGAAGAAAGGCACTGCAGCACTATGATTTAATAGGAATATCAGTACACAGAAAGTATAAAATACAGAATGTTGTAGGAAAAACATCAGTGCTTATAAAATGCTAAAACTGAAATCATGTCTCATATCTACGAACTACATTTTGCACATGAGCCAGCCAAAGCTGTGAAAGTCTGATTTGTTTCAAAGACTGAAGGAGCCAAGCAAAAATTTTATTCTCCCCTCTGTATTCAACATACCCCAACAGTACTTAGTTGTACATTTAACAAGGGCACAACTCAACGAAGATTACACAAGACAAACTGGCAAGCATCAGAACATGTATTTAAGAACTAGCTTACCCCCTTAACAGAGAAGGTTCCTTCTCCATATGATTTTACTCAGATTATATAAAACAGTGACCTACAAGAAAAAAAGTTATGGACTTATATTATCTATGGGTTCCATATATACCTGTATTAAAGCCAGTAGAAGTGCACAATATTTAACAACAGTGGCAGGGTTTGTTACATCACAGTTTTAAGGGTTGGGTTTTTTTTTTTTTTTACAATCAAACGATTTATTTCTAGCTTTCATATTTTGGTCCATTTTATAAGGCAACATCATGCTGTTATGTTTCCATCACAGCGCTACAAGTGTTTGCTAGTCTCCATGCTGTCTTCTAGCAGACAAACAGAGACACGACATGTGTAGCCACCACAGTGCTATGCAGCATTCTTTCCAGGAAAAGACATAAAGTTCAGCACTGCAGCAACTACCAGCCTTAGTTTAAAGAGCTGGGATCGAAGAAGAAGAGATTGGATTTATACCCCGCCCTTCACTACCCAAAGGTGTCTCAGAGCGGCTTACAATCTCCTTTCCCTTCCCCTCCTCACAACAGACACCCTGTGAGGTAGGTGGGGCTGAGAGAGCTCTTGACAGAAACTGCTCTTTTTCAAGAACAGCTCTTATCAGAACTATGGTTTGCCCAAGGTCATCCAGCCAGGTGCGAATGGAGGAGTGGGGAATCAAACCCGGTTCTCCCAGATTAGAGTCTGTACACTTAACCACTACACCAAACTGGCTACACTAGAAGACTCCATGGATGATGCTGTGGCTGCATGAATGGGTAACGGTAGCAATGAGGGAGCCGGGTACAGTTTACCCCTCATCTGCTCACCCCTGAGAGCAATAAAATTCACAGCCACATCACCAATAGTCACTGAAGACTGGCAAATACATAAGGATCTTGCAGTCCATATAAAGAACTACAGACTGCAGCTGTAGTGTGGTTTCTAGTCCAAAAGTCCACTCTGCTTAGTTTACACAGACAATTTTGCCTAGGACGTCCAGATCTTGCATCTTCCACTACAGGTTGGATCGTGTCAGCCAGTGAAAATCCTGGGGGGGAGGGAGACACAAAACCCACAATCAGCCTTTAAGAATATACTTTTATTCAAGCACATATAAACAAATTATTGGAAATATAATTAATGAAGACTTGAAAATAAACAATGTCTGGGATAGCCAGTCTGCACTGGCACTTGAAGGTGCAAACTGCAATCTATAACAGTGATGCTGAATCCATATTTTAAATATTATAAGGCTAACCACAGCTATCCAGTCATACATGGCCATTAATGTTGTTCTGTTGAACACAGGAAGCGGCTGTTTACTCACACTACAGGCTGAGAAAGAAACTGGACACACTCACTTGCTCCTTCCTGTCTGACTGTGGGTCGATCATTATGTTGATGAGGGAAGGGGTACATTTTTCCACCAGGCTTCTTTTCAAGGCCGCTTGCAGTTCCTCCGGAGTTTGGACAAAGTACCCTTTCCCACCAAAGGCAGCTGCTATCTGCTCATAGTGAGCATTTGGCAGCAGACATACTGGAGGGGCACTGAAATGAAGCAAACAGAGGTTTGCACTAAGAAGAGAGTAGACATCGTAAAAAGATTATGCTGCTGACTTGCTAAATACTGCGTCCAACAAGAGGCACTGCCCTTTTCCAGAGTTCCTTGGAGGAAACTGATCAGCCCATTCAATTACCATCTTTTTGTTCCAATATCAAACCATTGCTTCAAAGTTTCAGCCAAATACAGGAAATCTACTAGTGGCAAATATCATCATCATCAACAACAACAATAATAACACCTTTTGATCTCTTTGGTTCAACTACAAAGCACTCAGGATGATTTCTACAAAGCCACTGAACACATTCTGTTGAAAAGGTCTTAAAGGAGTCAGATAAAAGCCAGTGTGATGTAGTGGTTAATGTGTTGAACTAGGATCTGGGAGATCCCAGTTCAAATCCCTACTGGTGCCATGGAAGCTTGGGACAGTCACACACTCTCAGTCTAACCTACCTCTCAGGGCTGTTGTGAGGATAAAATGGAGGAGAGGAGAACGATATAAGCCATTTTGGGGCCCCACTGGAGAATAAGGTGGGATATAAATGAAATAAATACATTAAATAACCCAACTCTTCTCTGAAGCCATGTGGGTATTTAAAGTTAAAAGCATGAAAAGGGGTTCTCTGACCAAAGGATAATAAAACAAAATCTGCATTTTTAGGGATGGAAATGCTAGTCCCAGTTCTCCTAACTACTTGCTCATATGAACATGCGGCATGTGTTAAGAAGCCATGCTGGAGTCAGAAGGCCCAAACTAGACATTACACTGTGGTTTAAGTCTTCTGTGGTATCCGTGCACCACCCCTCCCCAGCCAGCTGAAGCCTTAGAAAGCATTTTAAATTGTGAAAGTGTAATGGGACGAAAGGATTCAACACTATTGTAATCAGTGACCCTTCTCCTATTTTCAAAGCAGGAACTTCTTGCTGCACTCATTTTAAAAACCTGGGTCCCCTTTACCACAGACCTTGCATGTCTTAACTGTTTTGGCCCAGTCTTCCCCTGAGCCCTGGGGAACTTTCTCCTTGCCCTGGTCAGCCTGGCCTAGAGCTATTACATCAGCTTTTTTCACCACGGCCTCATACTTCCCTGGGGGCTATCTTCTCCTCTTGAGTTAACGGTTCAAGCACTTCTAACTTTCATCCACAGAGGTAGGAATGAGATCTACTCTTAACAGATTACCTTGTGTCCACAGAAAAGATCCCCAGCAGTATGAAACAGTTTGGGGATATTGCTGCCATATTGATTCAGCGTAAAGCCGCCTTCAATGTTTGCAACTTATATTAGTGTGTGAACTAAATGCACTGGAATGCCATCACATCGGTTCTTGCACCAGAGTCTATGACAGGAACCCCCAACCTTTTTGAGCCTGCAGGCACCTCTGGAATTCTGACATGGGGAGGCGGGCTCAACCATGAAATGGCTGCTGTACGAGGTGCAGCCAGCCACAAAATGTCAAGGAGTGAGGTCACCCACAACAGTAATTCTTCAACATTTCAGACATAAGCTCTGTTGAACAGGAGACGATATAAAATGAACATATTGTGTAAAAATATTTTCTTGCATACATCACAGCTTATCTGCAGTCATGTAGTGAAGATCCTTGTGACCAGGGCTTTTTTTGTAGAAAAAGCCCAGCAGGAACTCATTAGCATAATAAGCCACACCCAACAGCAGAAACACATTAGCATATTAGGCCACACCCATGACAGAGCAGCTCATTAGCATATTAGGCCACACCCCCACATTACCAGAAGTGTGGTCATCCAGCCACACGCACCTTTTGCTTCTTATTCTGTTTACCTTGTTTGTTGTCAAAACCCAGGGCTTTTTTTGTAGCAGGAACCCTTTGCATGTTAGGCCACAGACCCCTAATATAACCAATCCTAATGAGTTTCTGCTGTTGGGTGTGGCCTATTATGCTAATGAGTTCCTGCTGGGCGTGGCCAGCTCGGGAGCCAGCCGGAACTCCGTTCCTGTGCGTTCCTGCCCAAAAATAGCCCTGCTTGTGACGTGGTAGCAGCTGCTGCTGCAGCAACTTACAAAAAAAAAATCCACACCGCCAATTAGCTCAACGATGGCCAGCCAGAAGTCAAGCTGGGCAAAAGCCCCACCTGGTCTCAGCTACTTTCTAACAACACTTGGAAGGACCAGGAAAGGTGTCAGGGGGCATCATAGCACCTACGGAACCACACTGTGGACTGCCTGGCCTATGAGGAAAGTAGGAGTATCGTGGAAGTTTTGTTACATGCACTTTTTAATGTTTCAAAGAAATAACTGCATGTTTGTTACATCCAACAAGTCAAAAGCAGACTGAGTGCAGCACAGAACTACCCACCGTGTAGCAGGTTCTCCAAGCTCCAGTATCTCCTTCCAGGTACCTGAATCTAAGCCACTATATATTCCATTGTTGTTGACTATGATCATGATGATTGGCAAGTTATACCTGCAGTTATTCACAACACAAAATAAAGAATCATTTCAAGGTGTGGAGGAACTTCCAACACTTCACGTCGCAGCTCTGCCCACTTTCAGGTACCGTATTTTTCGCTCCATAAGACGCACCCCCCCCCAAAAAAAAGTGGCGGGGAAGTGTGTGCGTCTTATGGTGCGAATACTGCAAAAAAGAGTGGGTGAGCGAGGGGGCGATCAATCAGCCCGCCGAGGACTCTTCGTCACGGCCATGAAGCTGCCACCTGGTGTCTGGCCCGCCCGGGGACACCACCTGCCCCATCCAGGACGTCGGGAGCTGCCCACAGTCGTCCGTCCCCCCGTCCCCCCCCCCGGGTCTGGCTGCCGGACGGGGGCGGGAGGTGATGGGCCCATCAACAGCCGCGGCCCTCCTCTCCGCACCCTCGAGTCGAGTGGTGTGTTCTTGTCCTCCCTGCTGTGCTCAAAGGGGACCTCGGAGGTAAGGCTCCCTCTTGGGGACAGGCTGTTGAGCTCCGCGCGTCAAGGTGGGGGAGAGGGGTTGGGGAGGGAACTCTCGGCAAGTTTGTCTTTCCACCCGCCCCCCCCTTCCCGTGTTGCAAGCGCGGCGGGTGGCTTGCTGTTCCGGAGCCAAGTTGTGCCAGCAGCGAATTCTGCTCGGGACAACGGAGGCTCCCCCCCCGGCTCACACATTTTTGTCTCCGCTCAGGAAGGATGGCTCCCGAGCAAACTAAATCATGCAGCAGCCAAGTCGCTCACTCACAACTTTAATGCCAGTAGCTCGCAAAGTAGAATTTTTGCTCACAAGACTCCACAGCTTAGAGGGAGCATTCCCCCCCCCGAGAGCCCTGAGCAGGGAAAGGCTCTCGCTGCTTTCCAGAAGCGTCTCCATTTGTTCGCCGGTCTTTTAATCTGGTGGCGGCGGCGGCAGCCAAGGACGGGAGCGTGAGACGAGCGGCCCGGAGGACCTCCGCGACGCGGCTGACCCCTGCAGGCTGAGGAGGAGCCCCTGGCGCAGAAGGATCGCCTTCCCTGCGGGCTGACAGCCAAAACCAGAAGGTGGGGTTGGATGGTGGGAAAGACCGCAGGAACCACGGGCGGACACCACCTTCAGCCTCAACCGAACTCCCCCCCGCGTGGAGGAGGAGGCAGCCTGCGGGGGGAACGGGAAGGCACGCTAAGCGGGTGGCACGCCAAGGCACCTGCTTGAAAGCCACCGCTCACCCCAGGATGACGGCGAGAGTCTCGGCCGGGGACTGAAAGCCGCCCTCCCGGCGTTCTGGCCTTCGCGGCCCGAGACGCGGAGAGGCAGCTGCGGCCAGGAGAGGCTAAAATTTGGTTCAGAATATTTTTTTTCCTGTTTTCCTCCTCTAAAAACTAGGTGCGTCTTATGGTCAGGTGCGTCTTATGGAGCGAAAAATACGGTATGTTATTAATATTTTTAGGAGTTGAAGTGGCCCCAGATTTTACCTGCATATAGTCTCCACCTCCATGCCGGAGAATCCAAAGGCACTGTCTCCTTCTATGCAGACCACTCGCCTCTCTGGACTGTGGTCTTTAGTAACCATGGCAGCTGCTATTGCAAAACCCAGCCCAACTCCCATAGTCCCGAAGGTGCCAGCATCAAGCCTACAAGAAAGGAAGGAAGCTCATTGTCTCTGTTCTGACTAATGATTAGGCTTCTCGTGCAACAGTTCTCTGTACACATTTGACACCCTGTCTTATTGAAAAGAGCTACTGGATGTCTTTAGAAAATATGAGACACAGGATGTATTTATAGATCAGTCCCATCTAAATGTGGAATTGTATAAAGATTTACCAAATGTGAATGTAGACTGGATTGATAGAAAAAGGAACTTTTATAATAATTTGTTAATAACATTGTTTTTTAATCTATTTTCAGAGCTGAATTACTGAAATTTCAAATGAGATGTTAATAATTTGGATTGAGTTGCCAGAGGCTACGGTACGGTCACTGTGTGCCCACTGAGATTTGTACAAGGAAAATAAAATAATGCATATTCAGCAACCTCCTGGCTCTCAAGGACTGCTGGCAAAGGTTCATGAAATATATTCTGTATTTGACACAACAGACAAACAAGATGCTTGAATATTCAACAGCTAGACAGTGCTGTTAAAACTGCAGCATTCAAGCAAATTTCTGAATGAGAATGCTTTGCAATTAGCATGCTCAGAAGCACAGAATACATAAAAGTAACAGCCGAACAGGTCTGCTACGTTTATTCCATACAAAATGCACACACCAAGTACGAGCACAGGAAAGTGGTTGTCAACATGTATCCTTTGGACATTTGAGTTGCACACAGTTCCTGCAGGTTGCTTTCTGGCCCCACTGCTCTAATTTTTTAAAAAATCTTTCAAAGGTACAATGAAAATATTGCTTCACCTTGGGAAAGGGAAAGATGATTTTATTCAGGCCCAACCATAAATAGCAAAACAGATTTAACATAATAATTCTTTAGCCTCCAGAATCTGAAGTGTTTTGATTGGTACATGAAAATGTTCTCCTCCTCAAGCTGATTTCAGCCAGAATGGGGGGAAAATAAGCACTCGAGCAGAAGGCACCTTTCAGCAGTGCTTCAATCAATCAATGCAAGTGTCCAGTACATTTGCTTAAACAGCCATCCTCATTCCCCAAGAGTGCCAGATAAAGCTTTTATTCTGTTTTGCATTTGGGGAGGGGAGGGGGGAAGAGAGCTAAAGATGAACCCAGTTACTACACCAGTTCATCAAACTTTGCTGATAACACTTAAATATTATTCACTAGGGGGGTTGGCAGGGGGAGTGGGGGGGAGGACTTCAGACACAACACTGAAAACAGAACAAGGCCAATAATTACCTGTGGCGAGGATGATAGTTTGGAAGCATTGTGCGCCCGATGTCCATTGTGTTTGCTCCCTCACTGACCAGAATGCAGTCCTTTGGCAAAAGTTCCCTGATGTGGTGGAATACTGTATAGTAATTCATAAGACGTTGCTTTCGCAGGGAGAGTGCCTTGTGTCAAGAACAAATATTTATTTATTTATGTATGTCTTTATTCAACTTCTATCCTGCTCCTTCCCTGGCCAAGCAGGGCTCGGGGCGGCTTCTGACAATTAAATATACAATAAAATCAGCCTTACGGTTTTAAAATCCAATTTTTCAAGTTAGAAAGCTTAACAATCAAACTACTATGTCAGATGGCGCCCAACAATCCATCGCAGGTGGGCAGCCAGCACAGAGAAGTTCGCGGCCCAAGAGTAAATGGAGGGAGGCCGGCTGACCCCCCTAACCATCATTGTCCTCAGCCATATGCCCTGTGGAACATCTTGGTCTTACGGGCCCTACTGAACTGAACCACGTCTCGCAGGGCCTGCGTCTCGTTAGGCAGAGGGTTCCACCAGGTTGGGGCCAGAGCCGAAAAGGCCCTGGTCCTGGTCGAGGACGGCCGGACTGCTTTGGGGCCAGGGATTACCCGCAGGTTGCTACCAGATGAGCATGATGCTCTCTGAGGGGCATGTAACTCAAATACATTAACATCTGTTGCTCCAACAGGTCCCGTAAGAGGCAAGTACTGTAAAAGCATGACAAATGACACACACTGATGTATGCAGAAAAACAGGCTTGGGACACTGAACGGATTCCGAACAAGCAGACTGAAAGTACATGTGAGCGACACACAAATAAACAAAAACAGGACTTTGTTCCCAGCTGCATTAATTTTTCGAATGAATCCAGATATACCACCAGTACCTTGGAAGTCTCCTCATTGCTTTTCATTTTTGCCTGCAGTTCTGACCACCACTCTGTACCAGAAGGGTATTTCCAAAGCTTTCTGTTCAGGTGTTCTAAAAGCTGGAAGCACAGAAATACTTTCACAAGCCTCTCTCCCCCTTGACATGATGTTGCTTAGAACATGCAAGCGTACCCTAACAGTATTGTATAACCTAGGCAGGCTGTTTGCATTCGTTTATTTTATTTTTTATAAATGTTTTATTGCTTTTATTCTAAAAACTACACAGAAATCAAAGGAAGGGGTAACTAATATCTACAGGAGAAAGGAAAGAAAACTACTACTAAGAACCCAAGTAGCAGTGGTCTAACAATTTTAACAATGCTTACAGTAATATTTCACTTAGAACACCTTTGTTACAATGAATAGTAAGGCTTATCAATTTATCAGATGATAATCCATCATGGTTTTAACTAGAGTAAGAGTGGCCAAGTAATCTAACAATTTTAATTAGGTTTAAGTCAAAGATATATGTCTTAAAAATTTATCGTTTTTGTTTCTAAAGTCTGCTTCTCTACTGAGTATGGGAGTTTAAGAGTACTAAAACAGTTTCTTCTTCAAGTGGTGTAGAAATATCCCTTCCATGATTTCCCATCTCATGTTCCTCTTCAGCTGTTCCATCTTCTTCTATTATAGTCCAGACCATCCACAAAGTGTCGGTTGTTTCTACAGAAACAAAGTTAATTTTTGTATATTATCCTCTTTATAAAATGTCTTTTAGTAGGTCTCACAAGGATTTCACCAGGCAGAATAATCTTAATATATTGTAGATACATTCCATAGAGCATATCCAACTCGCTTATATAAGATCCTAACATGGTTGGGATGTCTGTATTTGCTTCCGGTCTCGTGACTGTAGCACCAAAATTAGCATTTCCTGAAGAAGGTTTCGATGTCAGTGCCATTTTTTCCCCTTCCGTCGCCGCTTTTGTTTACATTTAGTGAAATGTTCCTAATGTCTCTATGACTGGGTTTTCCTTGGTCACACTCTACCCCAGTTAATTAAAGCTTAGTTTTTAGTCCCCTTCTTTTGCTGTTAGTATAAAGAGCTTATCTTTATTGGGTGGATTTCTCCTCCCCCTCGCTTCACATGAGGGGGACGTAAATGCTTGAACAATTTGAAGTTTATCTTGTTTTAACTGCTCAGAACTCATAGTTCATCAGAAGTCTTCCGCCAGGTAAGTGAAACCGCTTGACCATCTGCTCGCTTGTCCCGGTGTGTGACTCTAGCGCCATTGCTGGTCTATGACGGTGGGACCTTTGGAGCAAAGGGGAGCCACAATTCCTCGGCAGTTTGCCTTGGAAGAGGCACCCCTCGTGCTCCATGGCTGCCCCCCCCCTGCGAGGGCCCTTGGGGGTCTGGAATCGTTCAGGACCCCTCCCTACTACCATATCACGGGACCCATCTCTCGGAGCTCCGAAGAGACGCGCCCACCATTCAATTCGCCAAGACTGGAAGCCTGTTTGCATTCATTTAAACAGCCCCAAATATTGGTGCATGTTTTGCCTACAGAGATCAACTGACAATCTGATAGAAACAAAAATGGCTAGGCCTTAAGTGAAACCCTCCATTGTAACTCCCTGAAACCCACCAGATAGAGGAAAGAAGATGCTTAAGTTACCTGCCCAGTCACTGCTTTTATGTCACCCAATAAGGCTGCTACAGGTCTCACATTATTTCCCAGTTCTTCTGCACAAATGTCTACCTATTATGTAAAAGAAAAGAAGTGGTTTGCAGAAACGAATAGCAGCCCAAGTATAGTGCATAGCAAAGGAAATCACAATATAGCAGGCTGGATTCTTCCATTTCATGCTGTCGGCACCTATTTGTTTCTTCAGCACACGGTGCCATTTGATGATGCAAAATGAACAATCTTGCAACATCAGAAGGTACCTTGTGCCAGAGGACCACATGGACACCAACGAAACATACTGCTCTCTTCAGTATATTTCTCTCTTAAACCTAAGGATTTACCTTCCATTCAACAGCACAAACTTCATTACAGAGGGATCAGGGAACTCTGACAGCTTATTTATAAGTTCCCCTCTTCACAGGCTATTACGGGCAAGACTTACTGGTCTGGTGTGGTATCCTCTCTATTGAAAGCAACCATGTAGATGCTTTCAGATTGGTAAAAATTACATTTATATCTGCTCTTTTTCCAAAGAGCTCAGAAAGACATACATGGTCCCCGTTAGGTTCAATAACTAAGCCACTTCTCCACGCTAGTTTCCTGGGTCAGGGACCAAGGGAAATATCTCTCATCTCTTATTGAACCTCAGCATTCAGGAGTCAGAGCAAAGGCAAGTTTGTCCCCTCCTTGAAATTTTAAGAATTGCGTTGATAACCCGGGCGTTGGACTAGGAATGGAGCATCATGACAGCAATCCCCGGTTACCCATGGTTTCCCTGAGTTACTTTGGGCCAGTTACTGTTTTCCAAACTGACCTACCTGAGGTAAGGGTAAAACGGCAGGAAGAACAGGACCTTCTCAGCTCCATGGAGGAAGGGTGGAATAAAATGTTAAAAACCAGCAAAATAAAAAAAAAAAATATTTTTTCTGCTAATGAAGTCAGACTCATCTGTTGCCCAAGGGTACACCACACGTTTCTGAATCCTCAGTGTCAATCAATTGGAATTATGCTCCATCAATACCTGGATAATTTTTACATCTGGCCGAAATCTTGGTGGAAGCCCAAAATGTAGAATCCAGTTCAGCCGGGCACCAAGCAATATTATTACATCAGCAGACTGCAAGGCCCTAATTGTTAAAAAAAATCAAGGAAACAATTGGGCTGGATGATCCAGAAGGCACCCTTCTATGAATGAAAGAGCACCTTTGGATCCAACCCTTATTTTCAGCATCAGCGTTAGAACTGTGCTCTTCTTACCCAGAGTGACTGAAATTTACCATGGGAAAGAGGCTATCTACTCTCTTATATTCCTTTAGCTGCAGTCCCACTGCTTTTGGGGAACCTTACAATTCTAGACCAGACACCAGTGAGAAGCAGAGCTGACAAGGGAATGTCCCACATGAGCACCCCTCCAACACAGTATCAACAATACAAATGTTACCAAAGACATGTGGGATCCAGCCAAGGTGAAACATTAACCATGACCTTGGATAAAGACCAGCATAAGACCATCCCCTTAATTTCTGCAGAACGTAAATTAAAGGCTGCATTTGAGCACTGGAGTGAAGACTCTTCCAAGCGTTATTGCCCCAGCATGCCAGCAGCACCACAGGCTCATCGGTCCCCCTTTTTGCCTTCTTTTTAAAAGCTGCAGTCCCTTTGGTTTAAGATGTCTTCTGAGCTTCGTAGGCCATGTTGGGTGTCAATATTGGTAGAAAGGTGGGACAGCTGCAGGACAAGTGAACAAGGCCTCTTTGCCCTGTGGCTTTTAGCCTGGGGCCCAGCCATTGTCACACTGCCATTAGATGAAACTTCATCACTACAGGAGAAGGAGGAACACACCTGCTGCATACCTGGAATGCAGGAGCAGTAATGATCATGGACTAGACAACACTAACTTTAATACCTCTGGAAGTTAGCCCTGGACTGCTTTCTGACTTCCTTCAAAACTCTTATCAGGAGTGAAGCAAAGCATGGATATTTTGCTCATGCAGCAGTCACTCTGTTGGCTGCCCATCAGCTGCTGGGTTCAATTCAAGGTCCTGGCCACCATATATGAAGCCCTTTATGGCCCCAGACCCTCATTTTTGCAGGACCACCCCTCCTCCACCACAACAGCTTGGTTCTCTGTAGTGGCCCCTACCATGTAGAGTTCAGAAAAGCTCCCATACTTCTGGCATTCCACAAACTATGTAAAACAGAATTGTTCAAGAGGGCATTTTGATAAAGATGACAGGGCTATATTATAACAGAACGGTTCAGAAAATGTTTTGAGTAAGGAAACAGGTCTTCGGACTTTACTACTATGTATGGTATTGTGTTATCTGTTGCCGTACGCATTATCTTGACTCAATGCACTGTATTTCTCCTTCCAAGATACAATTTACTGCTTGTTTAAACATGTCATGTTTAATACTTACACTGTGTTGAGATTTCTGCAGTCCCAGCCTCATTTCATTCCTTATTATGTGGCTTATCCAATAGCACTGATTTACACTGTGCAAACTGCCTTGAGTCTCAGTGAGAAAGTGGACTATGAATGAATACATTCATAAAGCACCTTACGCATTTACCTAGATCTGGCAGCGGCTACGCAACATGGATGGTTGTCAGGAACAACTCCCTTCCCCATTGGAGTAGGCAAAAAGGGAAGCCCACACTGGTCCACCAACTTTCGGATGCTGTCTTCAGCACGTGCATAAGCAGCACCTAAGGGGGGAAAAAACCCACCACCATTCCAGGAAGCCGTTCTGGCAGGTCTCTGCAATGACTGTCACTCTGCTCCCTCCATTAAAGTTCCAAGGAAATGACTGTATAAATCTTACATTGCAAGAGTCCACCTTGTACTTTTGATTAACACGAGGCATATAGAAAGGAAGTTATAATCACAGTCAGGGGAAAAAACCCATAGTTTCATAGAGAGATAAGATCAACAATTCTTTAACAACAGATACCCAAAATGTATCTGTATATGCTGTAGGTCCAAGCAGAGTTCCACCCCTCCCCAGTATACCCATTTACAATTTACTATATAATTTAAAAATCCAAACTTGGATAAAGCTTTTTTTAAAAAAATCACTGCATTCTTTTCAGACAGCCCCAAACAACTTCAAAGCAGGTTTCAGCTCCAAACTTCAGAAGGAACTTAACTTTGTGAATGATATAAGCAAGACAACAATGGAAAGAAAACATTCTCATCATCAATATGCTGATGACACCCGGCTATATCTGTTATTGGATGGCCACCTGGATGCTGTCCCATATAATCTGGCCGTGGGTTTGGAGGCTGTGACTGGGTGGTTGAAACAGAGTAGGCTGAAACGGAATCCAACTAAGACAGAGGTTCTGTGGCGGGGGGGGAGTGGGGGGGCTTCAGGAATGGGGCACAGATTACCAGCTCTTGATGGAGTGTCACTGACACTGGCAGAATCCATCAGGAGCTTGGGAGTGATTCAGGGGCTTCCGGTCTGGCTCCCGCGAATGGTGGACGCATCCTCGGGTTGCTCCCGAGGGCGTCTCGCCCGCCCGCGGTGGAGGAGGGAATCCGTGCGAGCGGAGACCCGAACGAGCACCTCAGGAAGAGAGGAGCTCAGATCCGGGGCGCTTTAGGGCGCACTAGGGGGGAGTCGCTCTTTCGGCCGAGAGGTCGGAGACCGAGGCTCCCGCCATGCCCTGCCCCAATGGACCTTGCTGCGTGAGCGACCCCGAACGGGGTTTAGCGGAGCCACCAGACGTCACCGAGTGATAAAGCGACCATCCGCAAAAATGGAAAAAACGAGCGGAGAGAAGGGAGGGACTTCCGTCTGGGCGTTTGCTTGTGTGTGAGAGCCGGCTGTTTAGTGTTTTGGACTGTTTATGGTTGTGAATCCGATGGGAGTTTTGTAAAATGGAAAAGTTTGAACTGTGACAGCGAGGAGTGCCTGGCAAGCGCTTATATACGTCCAGTTTCGAGGAGGACCCAATAGAGAGTTTGGGAGCGGAAATAAAAGCGAAATGAAATTAATACCATTCTCAAAGTTGGGGACCTCCAAGGCATGAAAGGAAGAGGATTTATAGTGCATGAACTGAGTGTGTTAACAGCAACCCGAAGGAGGATTTAACAAGCCGGAAGTAGAAGACAACAGAGGAAGCCCCTTCACGTCAGCGATAGTAAAGGTGCCCAGCACGCAAAGAAGCGGTTCTGACTGTGTCCAGAAGAGATTTTTCTTTTTTTTATTAACAGAAACTCAAGGGAACTCAAGGGAACATTAACAGAAATTCAAGGGAACATTACTAACATATTAACAGAGAATTATATGTGACTGAACTAAGAAAAGAAGTTTGACAACACACAGAAGAAGCCCAAGAAGATTAATTGGACATTACTAACAGTTTAATTTACCAGTTTATATATCACTCAGCTTTCTCTTTCCCCCACTGTCTACCCTTCCCATTTCTTCTTTTAAGCGAAATACCTCCCCTTTTTAGGGGAGTCAATAAAACCTTTATTAAAGGAGCTTGGGAGTGATTCTGAATCCCTCCTTAAATATGGAGGCCCAGGTTACTCAGACTGCCAAGCTAGCGTTTTTTCATCTACACCAGGCTTGGCAACTGGCCCCTTTCCTGTCGCATCCTGATCTGGCCATGGTAATCCATGCAATGGTCACCTCCAGATTAGACTACTGTAACTTGCTCTACGCTGGCATACCCTTGCGACTGACCCAGAATGTGGCGGTGCAAGCCCTGACAGCAGCCCCGTAGCTAGGGCTTTTTTGAGGAGGGGGCCTCAGGGGTGGTGGAGCTCATTAAATCAAAGTTAATTACATTAATTCACTTTGGGGCCAGCCCAGGGGGAGGGGGCCTGGAAGAAAAGCTAGGGGGCCAGGCCCCATGGGCCCCACATTAGCTACGGGCCTGCCTGACAGGAACATCACAGATGGCACATATACATTCAGTGCTGCACCAGCTACACTGGCTCCCAGTGGAATACCAAGTCAAGTTCAAGGTTTTGGTACTGACTTCTAAGGCCTTGAGCGGTCAGGGACCGATGTACTTATGGGACCATCTCCTCCATTATGTCGCCAGGACAGCCTTGCGTTCCTTAGACAGTAATCTGCTAGTGATCCCTGGCCCTAAAGACATCCGGCTGTCCTCAACCAGGGCCAGGGCCTTTTCAGTCCTGGCCTCCATCTGGTGGAGCTCTCTGCCAAACTCCATCAGGGCCCTGTGGGATCTGATGCAATTCTGTAGGGCCTGCAAGGCAGAGATGTTCCGCCAGGACAGCAATGGGTCCATCTTGGCTGGCACCCTTTCCGGTTCTCTGTTGTTTACACCTATTTGCCCTCTTTCCCCCTGTCCCCGAAGTAGCTGGCAGTGGGAGTTGGAACTGGGATTGGTTATTTGCCATCTGATTGCTGCTAATGTTTCATTAATGTTTTAACTGATTTTATCATCTTGTTCTGTCTGTGGTTTGTACATCGCCCAGGGTCCTGCAGTGGCAGGTACTGGGTGATTCATAAATACAATAAGTAATAGTAATTACTATCCTTTATAGTTAGTTTAGGAGCTGTGGTGGCTCAAGTGGTTAAGACGCTGAACTGCAGGCTGGAAGATCGGTAGTTCAGCAGTATGAGACCTGAGTTGCCGCATGACGGAGTGAGCTCCCATCTCTCGTTCCAGCTCCTGCCAACCTAGCCGTTCGAAAGCAAGAAATTGCAAGTAGATAAATAGGTACCACTTCGGTGGGAAGGTAACAGCGTTCCGTGCGCCTTGGTGTTTAGTCATGCCGGCCACATGACCACGGAAACGGAGATGAGCACCGCAACCCTAGAGTCAGATTTGACTGGCTTTCGGTCAAGGGAACATTTACCTTTACCTTTTTTATAGTTAGTTACAAAGTTCAAAGAGGACTACCTTTCCCGATAATGAGGAGTGGTTTTCTGGAATGTGCAATAAATGAAGCTGCCTTTGAAACAGCCGACTCTTCAGCCATGCTGATGGGAGGTGCTGGGCAGCATTCCACGTACCTGGAATGTAGAATTAAATATTTATGCTCTTCAAAAGGGAAGGAGGATTAGCAATGTAATAAAATAATCACTTGTTTTTAAGAGAGAGAGAAGGCAAATTTAATTTGAGTATTGCTTCAGGTCATTATAATGAGCAAAAAAAGTGTTCTATCAATATACACATTCCACATTTCTAAAACAAAGCAAAAAACACAACAAAACCCAGAAAACTCCCTAACTAAAACGTGATCAGCACCTAGGAGAAACTCTGTTTCATATATGTGTGTGTTCCAATGACATCAAAATGGTTTTCCAGTATTTTCTTGCTTCATTTTGACAAGAAGGAAAACAATATGTTTTCTCACTATTCTTCATCGAGAAACACACAGCTGGAAAACTTTAAAGGGAGGCGCAGAAGGGTTTTGCATATGCTGCAAGTCAGCTTCCCTTCCCAGTAGAGGATCACATCTACCTTACTAAAAGCTGTGTGGGAAAGTCTAGAATGTTCCTGTAGTGCAGCACAAGGAAAAGCAGCTGGAAGGAGAAATCTAGAACGTCCCAGCCTACACATGAAAGTGCCTAGGCATGTGCACAAGGTTTTGGGGGTCCCATTTCTTGAGTTGGAATTTTGACACATGCATCTCAAACACACACACACACACACACCACTTACCATTTTTCTAAACACTACACACTAGTGCATCCATGCGAGAAAACACTAAGCATATTCAAACCCATAATATTTAGTAAAGGGTTGGATCCTACGAATCTCTTTCATTAGCAGCAGAGTCTTGCTCCTGCAGTGGAAGTCCCCTTGTGCCAAAGGAAAGCTCTGCCACCAGTGGGAGTGATAAATTGGAAGCCACTTGGACAGACACCTCCCAGGTGGTAATGAGCTCAGGCAAATCACGCTGAGGAGGCCCTTAAGGGTCTTTTTATGCAGAATATTTTATGTTTTGTTCAATCCTTAAGGGGCCCATGCTTCTTCTCTTTATTAGCTCCGCCATCAAACACAGGAAAATAGGGAACCATGACATTCAGATTCCATGACACCACCCACTCTAATAATTTGCACTCACCTGACAGTGCTCTTATTCACCTGCAGATTCACAAAATCTCCGGGTATGTCAACATAACAGGCACCTGGACGACCATAGATACTATTTCTGACAGCCTACATTAATTGGAAAGAAGGAACAGAAGTGCACTGCAGTAATTAAACTCTGCCATTTCTAAAATCTGACAAACATGTAAAGAAAAAATATTGGGTTCTATCTGGTGGCATTTTCAGCTGTTGGAAGCTATTTCTATCAGTGGAACAGGACTTTCTCACTTGCTCCGATTCCACTGCAGCCTAAAGCACTTACCAAAATACTGCTCCTGAGGGACAGAGGACCTGAAGGAACCACAAAAGGAGTGATCGGGGTGTACAATGTTAAGCAAAAAGTAGTAAAATGGCCCCCTTTTTCATTAGCAGAAACTTACTGCTGCATCTAGTGGTTTATAGAACAGAAATACCACTAGATTTCACTTACAGCCTGGTGTAACCACAGTGGCTTTTCACAACTATGCCACTAGCTGATCACTGTCTCTAAACTGTTTCATACATTCT